TGTGTGCCTTTCTTCCTCTCCCGAAAATAAATCTTACAGCAGAATTTTGCACCTTCTGTAAACGACTTAAATCATAAGAGCTCAGTCCAAAATATACGCTATTGCAATAATCAATTCTAGAGAGTACTAGAGCATGAACAAGCTGAATCTTAAGGTTAAAAGACAGTTTTGATGCAATAAACCACAAATTTCTGATCTGAATATTACATGCTTGAACCACTGACGTAATCTGATCACTCATTGAAAGATAACTGTCCAAATACAGCCCAAGACTCTTCACAGTTCCACTAACAACATGTGGCTCTTGATCCTTAACAATCTGTAGAGAGGCTGGAATATTTTTTGAGTCAAATTTAGAGGATATAACGATGACTTCAGTCTTAGAAGAATTCAGTTGAAGGAAATTGTTTGTCATCCATTTCTTGATATCAGACATACAGTGTTCCATATTGTGCTCTAGCTGTGATGGGTCATCAGAATCAAGAGTGAAATACAGCTGGGTGTCATCAGCATACAAATGAATACAGCACCCATGCATACTTGCAATGTTCTCAAGATCTTTGGTGTACAATATGAATAGCAGGGGGCCAAGGATTGAACCTTGTGGCACACCTATCTCAAGAACAGTTGATGAGGAAGACGAATCCTGGACTTTGACACAAAATGAACGGTTAGCCAAGTAGGACCTGATCCATGTAAGAGCAATGCCTGTAATGCCATAAGCAGATCTTAGCTTCTTGATTAATCTTGGGTGATTGACAGTATCAAAGGCAGCACTCAAATCTAGAAGTAAAAGAACAACTTTAGTTTTCTTGTCAATAGTTATCAAGATGTCGTTATGGATTCTGGTTGTTGCAGTTTCACAGCTATGAAACTTCCTATAGCCGGACTGAACTTTAGAAAGCAAGTTGTTATCCTCAAGATAACTGGTTAGCTGTATAGATACACACTTCTCAATGATTTTTGACAAGAATGAGAGATTGCTAATAGGCCTATAGTTAGATAGAGATTCACCGTCAAGGCCACGTTTCTTCAAACTTGGACGAATGAGAGCCTCCTTAAGTTTTATAGGAAACTCACCTTTAACTAATGATTCATTGACTATAAATGAGATCAGAGGAAGGAGTTCTGGGAGACACTTGATGAGAATCTTTGTAGGTATGGGGTCAAGATCACAGAATTTGTTGGACATATTCTTTATGATGCTTACTAGTTCCTCATCAGACACATGACGGAATTGTACTATCTTTGGGCTATTAGAAAGAGGAACAGATTCATCTGAGTTAGGAGAATCTTCAAGGGATTGTTGTTCTAAATAAATGTTGTTGTATATGTTGTCGACCTTTGATTTAAAGAACTGTGCAAAGTTGTTAGCACTCTCAAGATTTGAAGAGCAAGAAGGTGTAGTAGTACTAACTTTTTCTTTATTGAGCAACTTATTAACGATGGAATAAGTCTTTTTAGCATCACCTGCACTATCTTGTAACCTTGTTTTGTAGAAGTGATCTCTTGTGGATACAATGACTGAGGATGCTCTCTCTGATGCTTTCCTGTACAGTCGTTTATAATCTGGGCAATCATGATTCTTTTGATACAGTCTCTCAATCTTTCTTCTCATTGCTTTTGCTTGTTGACAGTGTGTAGACCACCATTCAGCGTTATGATCTTTTCTTGGGATGAAAGTTTTTTCTTTAGCATGCTTGTCCAAAATACTGCTCAACTCAGACTCATAGATATCAACTGCACTATCGAGGTCATTGAAGCAATCAGTGTCACATAGTTTTGACTTAAGAATGTCCTCAACAAAAGCATCTAGGTCTATGCAAGCAATGTTTCTGTAAGTAATTGGTTCTAGAGTGCCTATGGGTGCTGGAGATACATTGCAATTAAAAGCAACAAAGTAGTGGTCAGACGATGTGCCAGAATCAGTAATGACAGGATCTAGAACTTCAATGCAATCGTGAGTAAAAGAACCATCCCTGGTAATTACAAGATCTAATATGCCCCCATCTCTGTGTGTTGCAGCTGAAATTTGTTGCACCCACCCACAAGACTTAAGTAGTGAATTAAACCTTTGTGCAACTGAATCATTTTCGTCTTCAATGTGGATATTAAAATCACCCATGATCAAGGGCTTTCCAGGTTTGTCTACTAAATCAACCAAGAGTTGCTCAAAGTCAGTTAGAAATTGGGGGATGTTAGCACTCTGAGATGTGGAGGTGCCAGAACGGTAAATTGAAACAATTCGTAGTATATCTCCAGAAGATGATTTGAAGGTACATTCACAAGACTCAAACGTTTTGAATCGCTTGCACTTCTGAGGAGTCACTTTAAGACTTTTCTTATATAGAACAGCAACACCTCCTCCCCGCCCAGCTCTTGGCTGGCTATGAATGGAATATCCAAGTTCTTTCATCTCAGAAAACTTAGCATTGTCATCTTTTCTCAGCCAAGTTTCTGTAACACAGCAAATATCCGTATCAAAGTCTTCAAGCAATTGCATGACTCCAGCAGTTTTATTGCATATGGATCTGCAATTGAACAGGGCAAAGTTCATACTCTGACATTCTGACTTAGAGTTTGTAGCTAGTTTTTTGAAGTAAGGATGTTTTGTTTATACCGATTCAATGCCTGTTGCATGATGGGACACTGCTCTGAGCTGGAATGGTGAGTGTTACAGTGAGATGAGACTCTTGGATCTTTTGACAGACTGCAATTGCGACATCTATGTCTGCTAGCTATATCCTTGCAGAAATCACACTCACACCTAAAGTGCACGCATTGCAATAGCTTCTTTCAAATTTCAAGAATCCGGGTAAAATTTTTTATTAATATCATTTTGATTCAGTACATGGCATTGTATGCACTTCAATCTTAAGATTTATGAAGCGAAGGTAGTCTCTCTCGCTGCATCAAAGCAGATATTAAACAAACTTGATGAATACCACATGAAACGTCTTAAGCAAATTAGTATATCAAAATATGTCATTGTAATTTTGCATGGCTGAAATGTAACGCTCGATTTATATATATAATAATTAATTGAATTTTCAAATAAAATAACAGATAACAATGATATACCCTAACATTATCAAAGATAAGACACTCTTACAAAAAATGTATTTCTCGTGCACGATGAATGATGAAGGATGCTTGGTAATTTCCTTCGCATTAATAACTCACTTGCATAACTTTTATTGCACTTTGTAGCAGAGTCTCCAGTCTCTGCTGCAGAGAGCCAAAGTACTAAAAAAGGTTTATATTTGATATTTAAGCAATATAGACATTCCTTGTAGCGCGATGCGTTTCTGTACCGCGCCGCGCACTCAATGAGGCTTCTCACAGCGAGATGCGCTACTGTGCCGCGCCGAGCTGAGATGAATTGACATCGTCAATTAAAGACATTCCATTTGTAAATACAGACAACTTGTACAGTTTAAATATGTTAACCTTTCATAGAATAAGATGGAAGAAATGTATCAGAATTTCTTTTTTAGGCTATTTGTCAGATCTTTAATATGTTCATTTATGTTATGTTTATGATCTAAATAAATTGGTGTGATGCGATGTGAAGCTTTTGTCTTGCGAGAGATCTTAAACAATATGTTATTAAATTCCGAGCTGCTTACATACAACATCGACTGGTTGTCAACTGAATAGCGTTTTTAAATCATATACATGTATGAGAATGAATTTTTTTGAATCAAAAACTGCTGTTCTTTACCAATTAAAGTTGTGACGGAATGAATAGTAGAAAGAAAGTATGTACGCATGATGCAATGCGGCCGGCCACCCAGGAAAAGTTACCGGCTGGTGGTGGTACTAGAGTTGGTTTAATTTAAACAGACGGCTTGACCTCGCGCGCGACAACAAGCAATATGATTTGCACGCGTGGCGTATTCCAATGTTCAAGCAGCTTCCACGTGACACAATTCAGCCAACCAGAGAACAGGAATCCGCAAAGTTAAAGTTGCAAACTTTTGATCGGCCCGAAAGGGGACTTTTCTGGAGATTTTGAGATAACTCAACAATTACGTTGTCTTGAATTTTCCTCCTGGAGAGGTAACGTTACTTTTAAAAGAGGAACATGTTACAAAAAACCGGAAGTCTCCAACTCTTTTACTTTCAAAGTTAAGCCCCATCCGGTCAGGGTTCCTGGGCAGTAAAAGTTTTTGCACTTTGAAGCAAAGCAAACATAAAAATGTACGTGGTACATTGTGCATTAAAGCAAACATATTTCAACTAAAAATTTACTCCTAGCGCGATTGACTCCTAGCTATACCAGGACGCGCATCAACAAATACTCCTTGCTTCACCTAGCCATGTGTATACGCGTAATGCGTGACACGCTTGTTTCACAAGTATAATGTACTCTCGCTTGCTACTGCAAGCGAGAGGGCTTTGGTTTGAGCAAATTCCTTGCCACCTTAGAAAATTAAAATTACTGCTCATGCTGAGAGTTTAAATGTTAAATTTGTTTGTGAAATCTTTGTACATCGTTAATTTGTAGCGCGTTGTAGCGCGATGCACTACTGGGTCGCGCCGCGCATCAAATAATTCTTCTCGCAACCAAATGAACAAAATGATAAATATCTGAAATATATCTCAAATAGATCTTAAGGCTGAGCGTGAGTTTGAGACGAATTTAGCGTTCATTTTAGACTTCACGTCTCCCGAAATAAAACTGCGAACAAAGTGAAACAAGGAACTAAGTAAACTGTAAAACCAAATTTTTGTCACGCATTGGACTTTATCAAGGTTACACTAAAGGGGGGGGGGGGGGGGGGGGTTGATCTCTGGACCAGAGAGTGTGGTAATTGGGTTAGGAAAGTAAACATACATGCGACAAAGATCAGGGTTACCATTAGGAAGGAATTTCAGCAAAATTTATAGAAAAGAGTGTACACATACATGCGAGAAAAATCGGGTTACCAATAAGATAAAATCACAACAGAAAAGTTTACAACCCTCAGATCAGCGTAGTAAAAGTGTAATAGAAATCAGTCTGTAAAACCGTTTCCACACATGTTATTGATTTTCGGTTTAGTGCGTTCTATTGCTAAGCCTTCTTTTATAAAGGTATCTAGGGTATCCTTACATTGTTCTGATATGCTAAATATGAAGTTTTCGAAGAATTTTGCTAAGTCTCTTTTTCCCGATATGGGAGTGTAGTGTGGGTCGTCTGCTCTGCGGTGTTCAGCAGCGTGGTATCCTACTGTGGTCCTGCTGTTGTTGAGTCGGAAGCTAGACTCGTGTTCGTAGATTCGACCTCTAATAGGTCGTCTTGAAGCTCCTATGTACAGATCTCCGCATTTCTTACATTTTGCTTTGTACACGTAGTGTCGGGTGGTACAGTTGAGATCTGCCTTGCAGAGTTCGCACTCGCATATCTCGTCTTTAGATGGTGTGCTGATGATGCTCCTGACAGCTTTCCCCGCCTGTGTCACTACTCTGGCGTTTATTCCCAGTTGCTTGATCGATGAGTTGACTCTCCTGGTAAAGCTCTCGTTAATGTACGGTATCTTCAGGATAAGGTCGGGTTCTGGTCGGGGTTCTCGTGGGGTCGAGCTTGTTAGTACTTCTAGTCTCTCTAGAGCTTGTAACATGTGCTTTGTCACGACTTCTTTGGGATATCCGGAGTTTACGATCAGGTGAGTTTTCAGTTTTTCGAGGTATGCCCAGCTGTCATCCTTGTATTTGCAGTTGTGAACTATCCGCCTAGTCTCCGACCTGATGATGTTTGTTTTGGTGACTAGACTACAGTGTGAGTCGTAATGCAAATATCTTCCAGAAGCCGTAGGTTTTTGGTAGTGAGTGAAGGATATTTCATTGTTCTCTTTTAGCTCAATGGTGAGATCAAGGAAAATGAGCTTTCTATCTTCTTGAAGTTCGCTGGTGAAGTTTACATAGGCCCAAACAGAGTTCAGATTGGCTTTGAATTCCTCGAAGTTTTCGGCGCTTGACTTCCAGAGTAACCAGGCGTCGTCAACGTACGTGGCAAGGCACTCCGGCTTGTGGGTACTCTTTTCTGCTGCTATATTGTAGGTGTAGTCAACGATGATTTCTGCGTAGGCGCCTGAACTATGGGACCCAGTGCCGATACCCTGTTTTTGTAGGTAGTATTTGTCGCCTGCTTTGATGTAAGTGTGGTGTAGGACAAATTCGAGCATGGAGACAATATGTGAGGGCGAAAATCCGTACAGGTTAATTCCTAATGGTAACCCTGATCTTTGTCGTATGTATGTTTATTTTCCTAACCCAATTACCACACTCTCTGGTCCAGAGATCAAACCCCCCCTTTTCAGTCTAACCTTGATAAAGTCCAATGCGTGACGAAGATTTGGTTTTACAGTTTACTTAGTTCCTTGTTTCACTTTGTTCGCAGTTTTATTTTGGGAGACGTGAAGTCTAAAATGAAAGCTAAATTCGTGAAATATATCTACAAAGTAGAGTACAATATTTAAAAAGTGTCAAACAGTATATTATATACAATAAAGTAATTCAAGTGTTGCAATTGGCAGAGCACAATACAGAGGTAACGGAAATTGTCCACTGCTACCAATATTATATTATATGAAATATCAACAATCAGATATATACAATCTGATATATACATTGTTTATGTAAAGTTTGTAGATATTTTACTGTACTATTTTATATTGTATACAATTTTACGGACGAAATGATCCCAGGGGGGACTCCCAACCCACCGCTTCGGCAGGTAGTTGATGCACCGATCAGATATATACAAAGTAGAGTAAATGATCACATTTCACATATTATCATTGTGAGTAGCCATTGTTATCCATAGCATCGGGTAGGTTGAGAATTAGAATGCACTGAAATAGGGTAAGCATGTTATCTAATCTAATCTAATGTTAGCGAATTACTGTGTGTTGATTTAGAGGTAAAGCTTGCTTACATTTATTATTAATAAGGCTTATTATTTTAACCGAATATGTCGTTTCAGAAATAACTCGATCTAGAAATGAAATTTAGAGATGGAAATGAATTTATGAGAAGAGTTGATTTTTTAGATAAGGTACTGTAACTACTAAAAAGTGAAATAGACCGCCTAAGTTTGAAGATTTTGATTGTTTCCATGAAGCAAATGGCATTAATACAAATTGTTGATTGAAAGAGATCGATTCTCCTTGAAGAGTGGTTTTGTGGGTTCAAGCTTATAAAATTCGTGGCCCAGTGTCTGTATCTCACATAGTCTGGCCCCAGTGTCTGTAACACAAGTGCTCCTTTCATCTAAATATGTTGCCTTATCATCGAAGAGAACAAAGTGTACAGTGATTTTGAATGGTCCTAAAACTGGCGATTCTATACTTTATGGTACATCATGACTAGCTCACATTTACGCTCACGTTATACTTTCTACAGTACGGAACTAGACAATGAAGAGAAATTAGAACATAACTTATTTTATATTTCATCATATAAAGATTTCGACTAACTTGGGCTTCTAGTATCTCCTAATCCTTAATCGTTAGTGGCACCAAAATTCTCAGAGTTAGTAGTATGTTTTGTGGACTAAGTTATTGTAGAATTTCTAGCAAATAAAACATTTTGGCAAATATTCCAGTTATTCTCAGTCAGGGCAGTACTGGTTTTAACAAGTTTATTATCGGATGTTCACTTATATTTAACATGATATTTATATTCATTGTAATGGTAATAAAATTTAAATTTTGTTTTCCTTTTGCATTTACAATTGATTTTGTTATATTTTTATAGATTCCGTCACCTTTTGATTTAGAAGGATGGGGACTTAACCCAGACTCAGCCAACCGACTCCTCTATGACACCTGTCAAGCTCTTGTTTTTACTCCAAGGTCACAACTTTCTATCTAAGATAATAATTTATCTCTAGAGGTAGCTCAAGTGAGCCGTGTTGCATTTAAGCTGTTAGTTTATAGCTGCATAGATAACCACAACAATGCTCTACAAGATGCACACTTGTAATTATTATAGGTGTGATTGTCATGATGACCACACCTACAAACAGTGACATTTTCAAAATGCGCTTGAATACCTGATCCTGAATACCCGCTCTAGGGGAGATTAAGAAAGCAGACAAAATTCAAATGCTAGCATTTCCCTTTTTATTCATCACAAGTTGATTTTAAACGGTACTATCTCTAATAGTTTATCATGTATGCACTATGTTGTTGTGTTGATTGCAATGATGTTTTTTAGAAGATTAATTAAAATCATTCCCTTTGAAGCATAATTACAGTTACCAATTTAAAGATGTATCGTTAATGCTTGCCTATCAAAATCTTTCAGCGGCATGTTACTTGGTAGTCATGCACTTCATTTAGACTTTGGCACTTTTAGAATAAAATTGTGGTATTAGTGTCCTGAATCAATAGGATGTGTGATCATGTACAAGTTACTTGTACTTGGAGTGGCCTGGACCAATGAACTCCTGTTCGTGTCGTATCATGTTGTGTGATCATGTTGGAATTTAATTAGCAAATTAATCACAATACACGTTAAAATATGATTCACTTTGCACCTCACTTTTTGTTTCATTAAAAATCTCATAGAATCAAAAAAGGACAAGAACATAGGACATTGACAGGCATAAGCAGATTTTTTTGACAGGTAAATTTGGTCCTGCCTTTTTCAGAACAAGTTCCAATTCTGTTTGTTGAGCTATAGATGTGATTTGATCAGACAATTATTTTTGTCCTTTGAGGAAGTAAAAAACTTATTCGAGAAACTCATAAGAGTTTAGTATCCTGTTGTTTCTTGGTACATTTTTATTACACTGTTTCTCGATACTTGTATACCAGCTAACTAAGATGTACCTTCCCACTTCCCAGTCATTGATAATTTCTATATCAATTTATCATAGACTGCTAATGGCCCGACCTAAATTGTGTGTTCTAATTTCCCTTTGTTTCCGCTAATTTCCCATTATCTCATAGAATCCAAGAAGGACAAGGATATCAGTAGACGTTAGCGGACATGTCAATGCCTAAATAAAAGTAATGGTTTTTATAAATAGTATTCCATATGAATAATACAATGCCTTATTAATTCCATATGAATGATACAATGTCTTACTAAGTCAAATCGTTAACACTTTCTGTAATTTCAGTTAACCACAACTACCTTCCGGAAATAAGAATAAACCTTTTTAGATCAATGACACAAGGCACACCTTGAGGAGAATAAAATGCTCTTCCGAAGTACTCAACGTTTGACTGAAACTTATATCCGCCAAAGGCTATTCAATTGCCAGTATCTAAGTTATGCAAGTCGAGGAAACTTCAAAGACGGAGTAAGATATGGGAAATATGGTCCTGTAGGTTCCGACAAAAAGACAGAAGAGGAGAAAATCCACAGTGCCCAGCACTTCGTTAAGTTTAAGAGAAATAAAATGTTGACAACCTTAATTTATTGGTCTGTGTGTCCAATAGTGTTTGGATCTGTTTTGTTGCTCAATTGGTATAAGGGTACTAAAGCCTATAAATCTGACTCTGTTTTATCATGATGGTCAACCTTAAAAGCTCCACGAATGGTTTTCAATCATTTTTTGTAAATAATTGGATCAAAATCGAAAGTTCGTTAATAAATTGTAACTCTGTACTTGAAGACAAGTACTGTAACTGCGTTATGTAAACGGTTAATGTAACTGGACTTGAGAAATAAGGACACTGGACAGCTTTAGATCTTGATTTACGTCGTAATAAGATGGGTTTTGTTTCGTTGTAAAATAGGTGATGTAAATCTATTAGCTGAAGGCTTTTGGTGATATGAAAAAATGTCCCGATAATCATTAATCATTCTTTAAAGATACTGGCTATATATACACTATTTATTTATTTTAAACGATATCTGTTGACATGTAAACTTTCGGTCAAACTTTGATTGTTTTTGATCAATTGTTGCCAGTTGATTGATATAACCCTACTTCCATGTTCTTTGAATTGTAAAATGTTCTTGTTTTTGTCGATTGTGCTTTTAACCATCATTGTATTTTATCAACCCGAACTAACTTAACTAATCTTTATACTGGATACAATCTTAATTTCGCATTATTTAGATGATATTATATTGAACTAAATAAATTTCGCTTTAGGTTGATGTAAAGTACAGCAGAAGAAAACGACTAAAGATAGATAGTATCAGGTATGTCAAATACGAAGTTAGATTCCCTGAGGCCGTTCCTATAATACGACCGTAATATTTATATCTAACCTTTGATCGTCTTCCTCCATATAATTTATATCTTGGTATGTACATATTTGTTGAAAGTCCCAGCAGGCAGCACATGAATTTTTATGTTACTTTGATCTGATTTCAGTAACTTAACCTGTAGTCATCTCTTACACATCTCTTGATTTACGTATCAATCTAGTATCGTTATTTCTTCGAAGCAAATGTGAAATGGCAGAACTGATAAAATACTGAAACTCTCACGTTCTTTGGCTTACTCTGTGTTGTTTTTTTACATTTTATGCGATCTTTAGCTCAAGATTTCAGTTCTTGTTAAACTGTTCCAAAACAAGAATTATCTCATACACAGATACTTTTAGAGTTCAATATAGTTGAATCCGATCAAATATGACCTCATTACCTCATTATTACTAGTGACCAAAAATAACTTAAGCTATTCAGGGAAATCCCTACAAAAATCTTTACTAGCACGTGCAATTTCAATAATAGAGCTAACAAAATTGAGTATGATTAATTGAACCACATTCTTGTCAAAAACAAAAGAAAACCAGTATGTAACCAATCGAGAAAATAATTTTCATTCTTCAGAAATTGATGAATTTGTTACAACATTTCGTCATAAATCTTCATTCTTCGGCATGTCCGCTTTTGACGCAACACTCCACCATGCCCATTGCCCATGTGCGATGACTTTTATAAAGGACTCCCTCGCAATATGCAAGCTTATACAGAAATACTGCACGTAATGTTTATGCTTATTGCTTATTATATGTTCAAACGACCAAATGTTCAAACGACCAAATTTATTGTAATAACTGATAAGTTGGTAGACGATCATTCGCCAAAATGGGACTAACTATTTTGGTTTTTACCCTTTACGAGTACAATAAGATCTTTCTGGTTGACATGAACGATTTCGTAAACTGATTTTCAAGATATATATCATATTATTATGATGTGTCTAATCATAAGATGGTTTAATCAAATCGTTGATTAGTTTTTGACTCTTAAGTTTAGTAAGGTGTACTCATATCAAATTATACACCTTGTGGATATGTTATCGTTCGTGACCATTCTTATATTATTCATTTCGTCCATAAATAAACCCTTCAAATACGTCAGCTAGACAAAACATATCATGATTGTGATAATATTATAAAGCACGTGTGTGGACTTTCGGTTGTGTACACTGTACGTACACGTGAACCTATCCGACCAGTCACTGAATATAAACATGAGAAAATCTATTTTTACTCCGAATCTCCTACATTCTCCCTTATCATCTGCTTAAACCATCAAACTCTAGATCCCTCACATTAGCATATACCATTAACCTAGCACAAAACCTTTGAACAAAATGTATACCCTTTTCAAAAACGGCAGGGGACATTTAGTGCAACATGCCCGTACTAACAGTATCTACTAGAGCTTGGTACAGTTGTCAGTTAATGCTGCACGCCGCGCGCAGGGCCACTTTACCAGTCATGTGAACTGTGAAGGGTGGAAATAATGCCAAACTTGGGTTTTTAGCAAAAATTTAATAAGAACAAGTTCTTGAAGGCATCTCAGAAGTGGTAGGTTGCCTTCTTTTTGACATCCTACCCATTAAACAGCCATTATTATATAAAATTTAGCAAAAAATATTTAAGCCTTAAGTTCATTGAAACTGAGTATTTATTTTTAAATGTAAGAGAAATTCTTTATTTTATCTTATATAGAAATTATCATGTATGATTATATAAATTAGGAGAGACATTTAATCAAGGGACTTTTAAAAACAGTGCAAGATGGATAGATTCCTGTCCTGAAAGACGAAAAAATACTATGGCCACTCTTGAACCAAAAATGGCCACCCTTGGAGAAGCCAAGGGTGGCAATATGGCCAGCCTTGGAGAAGCCAAGGGTGGCAATATGGCCAACCTTGACCAAAAAACCCAGCAGAAGCCTGCTAAGGAGGTATGTCAAGACTGATCCATCTGGTTTATTATTTACCCATACATTTTACATGATGATACGATACTCTGTGCTTCAAAAGCTAAGTTTGATAGAAATATCATGAAATATGTTCAGAAAAATGTTGATACTTATTGGATTAGACGTACAAAATCGAAGTTTGTCCTGTTATCTTCAACAGGAGACATATTAGGATAATATCACATTTTAGCTATCTTAGGCAAGATTACAATAAATCCACTTATTCATATTTCTTAGATATTCTGGTTACCAGTCCGGATTTGTTGACATATTTCTAGTTTCCGTTTTATAACTCCTGATTTATTGTTTTAGCAAGCTTTGTCATTGTATTTGGATCGATTCATGAAAATTATACTTAAGGAATGAGCTTAGATCGCTTTCTTCTGATATTCAACCTTCTTTATGTCACATTCAGTTAACCAATCAATAAATTGAAATTGAAACTATTACATAGCATTGATTGGGGCTCGAAAATTTGATCAAACTCGCAGCAACCTAATCTTGGAGGCATCACAGTGCTGCGCGCGACCGTTTTCAATAGAATACAGTAGTGTTAGCGCGCATTCAAGAGAATATAAAAAACGCCGTTGTCACAATTTACTGTGGCATATAGGAAATCTGGTTTGATTTGGCCGCGCATCACTCCTTTTAAGTTTTTGCTTATTATTTTTTGAAATAAATCTTTGCCTATTTTTTTACAAATACTAGATGATTATACTCTTCTCATCTGATAATTTTCACACTGATACTAATTGAAGAAATTACCAAAAAGTAGATCACCATGTGCTACGCGCGCAATGTTTAGTGCGCGTGAAGGCACAAATTTTGTTACAGTAAATGCTAACGAGAGTGAACTTTTTTATTTTTATGGTAATCCCGAGGCTTTGAGCCTTGAATTGTGGTACCTCAAATCGCCCATTTGAACAATAATTCCTTTCAGATGTCAGGCAATAGGGCAGGTTACCGGCCTGGAGCTCCTATTCCGTATAGGCCGGATCAGCCCCCTCAAAAGAGATACGGATTTCACCCAGCACAGTACCACAAAGCTCAAGCTAATGATGTGTACCTACAGTATCAGAAACAGGTCAGCCATTTTCAGACATTTGTTAATTTTATGGTTCTCCAATCGGGTTTTCTATTTCCTGCCGTTCAATTTTCCATGACGATTTGTTAAATCATGGATAGCTTAAGACCAAATGTGCCACAAATTCTTCTGTTCCGGTACGCGGAGAAAAGACCGCCAGTGACCAAGAGATTGTCCAACTTTATGTCCTTTAAAGATTGAAATTGTCTGATTATTACTAAACCACCTTCGTTCAGGTCGCCAGAGACAAGGCTGAAACTCTGAAGAAACGAAGCGAAAGAAATCTTGACGGAAAGCTTAAGATAAATAACTTGGAGCTCGTTTTCCTTACAATAAATAGCAGGAGATGGTTTGGTATCAGTCAGATAGTATCAGTTCTATTTTCTCACCGACCTAGGTTTGTGGTGCTAAACTCAGATAAAAAAGAACCTTCGTGTATTTATAATTACCTTACTCGGGAATATTATAGCGGGTTAATTCATGACTGGGAAAATTAATGACCGGGAAAAATATGGCGGAATTTTCCAAAACCCACCAAGCATCAAAATGTATTACTATTAGTTTACCTTACTCGGGAACATTATAGCGGGTTTATTTATGACTGGGAAAATTAATGACCGGGAAAAATATGTCGGAATATTCCAAAACCCACCACTTTATCCCGGTCATAATATTCCCGAGTAAGGTAGATGATAAGTTAAGACCAAATGTTCTTCCGAGAAGAATGATAAACCAAAGTGGCTTAGGTGCATTGAGGAACCGTTCCGAAATAAATGTTTTAAAGCTCAAGTTCAGCTGTGTTTAACTTGATGAAATCAGGTCGAGTGTGGTAACGAGAATGAAGATGTTAGGAATTGAGTTTTATTGCGGTAATTACGATGAGTTGAGAAGGATGAAGGAGCTGGGTGGCGTGGAAACTCACTGCTCTCGGTGCAAACTCATTAGTGAACAGGACTTGGTGAAGCTGCTCCTCTGTTTCTATCGATTTACAGCCCTTCCTCGTGGCAAGGTATTTTATTAAACCCACTTTGAGATGTTCATTTCCAGTTTTTTCTTATCTCAGTCGGTCTAAATGGTTTGTTCTAACACCGTTTACAAAAAAAAACGAGTATTGATGATTAAACTACTAGGGGAAAATAAGCACGAATGGGCTCAGCACGTATCTGGATGATATACTTCGGGAAATAGCGATGGGAAGAGTTGAACTCGGCAAAGATTTTCACGAGGACGATACTGGTGAGTTGATGGCCTCAAGGTCTCCTCTTTTATTTACAACTACCCGCTCCGGTATAATGTTTACGTAAACGGGAGGGTTAATGTACTAAATGTACCAGCATGTTATTGAACATATCCATTCATATCGTTCATTTTTATTTCATTTGTTCCTCTAATGTGAAAATCATAATGATTCCAAACGTTTGAACAGCTTTTTGGCCACGCTGTAATGTTATCCACTGCAGGTAAGATAGATGAAGACACTTGGAGTCAGATCAGTGAGAGGATGTTGTTGAAAAACGCAGAAAGAGTTGAGCACTACACTCGAGGACCTCCTCCTAAGAAGAAGGATGCTTTCTCTTTTGATGTTGATAACGAGACTGAGTTTGTGTAAGTCCGAATAGACATTTCCATGTCATAATTAAACCTACAGTGTTATTATATCATAGTGTTAATTAAACATGCTTAATATATTCCTCTTTTGGGTGATCAAATGACTCGTCCGCCATGAGTGGTGCTGATTAATTAATTGTCTTTTAATGTAGGATGCCTGGAAGTCCCAGCAGATACATCCCACGCTCCCAAAGGGTCGTCAAAGGAAAATCTCTTCAACCCAAGTGTCAACCTATCCTTGTAAAAACAGAGGTATAGTTTTACAGCTTACTTCAAACTTAACTGAGTACCGTACATGCCGAGTGTTTGAATAAGTTCCATATTAGGTTATTTAAGGCGTATGCATCAAACGATTGGTATGTCTTAAACAAAGGGTGCTTACTCAAAAGCTGATCTTCAGGAAAAAGCTCTACCAGCACATTCTTCTCCTGCTCAAGTAACTACCCAAATAAAGGAGGAAGAGAAGACACCAAGAAGCACTCCTTATGGCAAGGAGCCAATGATAAAAGAAGAGAACAAGCAGGAGTCTATGTCTCTTCTTTTACCGAAACTTATTAGGGCTGAGAGAACTAAGAAGCCACCTCGTGCTATTTGGCCCCGATGGTACCCACCTACAGGTAAAAATACATTACTTTTTTTGTGTTTCTAAAAATAAAGTTAAATTCTTTGCTGTAAAACACACTGCACGGTATATTATAGTAGTAAGGGACCATATCGATGACATTCTGAAATCCAACTGACTTTCTCACTTTCATAGGCGAAGGGGATGACAAGGATGACAACCGCCCTACAATTACACTAAAGAGCTCGCCAAGTTTCCCTCTTTCCGGAGTATCACTTCCGGCTATTCAGTGTCTGTTGAACCACTTCCGGGTTGTTGCAGATAAGGAGAAGGAGGAAAAACCGCAATATGTTATTGATGGCAAACAAATAGATCCTGAAGATGTTAAAGAGGTTCGTTGGCTTTCCGGATAATTTGGTTATAAAACTTAAATTTCCTTGATTTCTTGTTTTGTATTCCAATTAACCAGTGGAGAAGCTGGTGTTTCATTTTGGATTTACTTTGAAATCAGAACTAACCTAAATTAACCGTACGTTTATCCAGGTCAAGATAAAGAGAGATACCGGAGAAGAGTGTATTGTTTCGCTGGAGGATCTCACCTTTAAAGACATAAAGTTCGGAGAGGACGACATCATACAGATCGTAACCCGCCAGGATCTAGAGGATCAATACAACAAGCAAAAATCAGAATGTTCCAGCAGAAAGAACTCGGACGAGCAGTCTGACTCGGAGAACAAAGAAGGAGCAGAAAAGAAGGAGGCAAGTCCACCAAAACCTGAACCAGTGGAGTATACACCTGAACAGCTTGAGTACGTTCAAAAACTAAAAGAAAGCTTTGATTTTCCCTACGCTTTCCCTCGAAACAAGATGGCAATGAAGAAAGAGCCACATGACTATGATATGTATGACGAGGAGACGTTCCTAATGAGATCTCGACTACCGCACTACCGGAGAAATCCTATTGTGGATAATCAGATTTTCAGAAAGTTAATGCTGCAGAAGCGCCCTACTATTCTCAACAAGAAAGTAAAAGACGGGTTTGGAAACGATGTATCCCCAAGTGGTTCCCTGTTTTCAGAGGACCCAAGTGCCGGAAGAAGTCCCGTTACCAGCAGTACTAATGGAAATGTTTCTGTGTATCCAGTCCCTTCTGAGTCACCATTACGCAACGGAGAGGTCGCTAAAAACTCTATTCTTCGCCCCAAAGGTTCGATAATTAAATCAAAACTGATAAAGTGTCACTCACAGGAGAAAGTTGGCCGGAACTGGAAGGATGATAGTGAAATCAAGGCAGCTCGTGACAGGGTTCAAAGTGAGCCTGTCTCAAAGTCTGCTGGACAAAGCAGAGCCCGCACAGCCAGCGACTCTGCTTTGGTTGCGGAGAAACCTGATCATGAGTCTCCCTTTCTTCTCTCAGACGACAGTGGAACTGTCTCTGACGGTGGTGGTGATCTGATTGAACTGAGGAACCGACCTAGGAAGCGATTCAGGAAGTTCTCTTCAAGTCGGGAAAGGCTCGGTTCTGGAGGGAGTTCTGAATGTGACGAAGAAAACGTTAAGCCTGATCACGTGTACAGGTTCAAGTTCAAGTCGGTTTCGGAGACTCAGGATTACCCCTACATGTCTGCCCGACCATCTTCCCTCCTCAGACTTGTCAAGCTAGATAAGTGTAATTATCCTGTCGGGTGCAGATCTGCTCCCTTCCTTTTTGACACCAGACCCCTACCCCGTGTCCTGGACCGTGGTCCATTCGTCCGACAGTACGATATAGAGCCCACTAGCGAGAATGTCTGGTCTGGAGTCAGCTTGTGGGCCGGAGACGACTCCAGCGATAACATGAGTGATACCTCTTCTAATAACGGTAGCTCTTATTCAGCCCCTGAAACTCTCAAATGTCCTACTGAGACAAAGAAACTTCCAGCGAATCTAATGAGAAAGATAGCGTCAGCTGGAAACTCTCCAATTCGGAGAAGTTCGGAGGGGGCCGTCTCTACTAAAGCTCCAGACATGTCCGGATTGGATATCCTGTCTTCCGTAGCTTACAACGCGGACAGGTTACGGAACACGCCCACGAAGCGACAGAGAACTCCCAGAAAGCAATGGCCAGTCGAGCAGCGGACGACTGTGAAACCAGCTCCACTGAACCTACAGGTTCGCCAGATCAGAGTAGCCAGCAAGAGGAAACCAGAAAACGAGGTAAATAAGGAGCTGGAACACAGCAAGAGTAGGAAGTTAGACACTTAGAAGCTCAGAGTTTATGTAATATGTACAAATATAAGACATAACAAGACTTCGTGATATCGACTTTCTAGATTCTTGAAGGGTATATTTTAAGGTGTTTGTTCTGTTAGTGATATTTTAGGGAAGGATCTCTGTTTATTTCCGACCGAATTAATTTGATTTTTTAGACCATATTAGCAAAAAACATTTAAACAGAGTTCGTCCCCTAGGTGATTTTTATATCAAAATTATCCGTACAATGAGATAAATCAGAAACTCTTCCATTATTATTCAATTAATTCAAGTAAAACCTTAAACATACAATGATAATTGGCAAATTGCTATATTCAAAAACATTTACTTATAACAATATCTTAACCAGTCTTGCTATGATGATATTAAGTTATTATTTCTTACTTTTTGCTAGACAAGTTTAAATATTTCGAGCACAAATTCCAGAACTTCTTCTCCCGTATAAAGCTGACATCAAATAAGTGTTCTTTGGTTTTGTAGCTTTTCCACATTTTTACGTTGTTTTGATACGAATATAATCTAAGTGCTTGTCAAATGTGGTGAAGTGAATTTTATCAAATAATTTCAATGTAGTCCTCTCTTGACAAATTAATTTATCGCTATTTTAAACATCATTTCTTTTGTCCACATCACTGTTTAAAACCCAGTTCAAATACAATATACCCAGTATCCCCAAAAACAATAACCCATCTGCATCGTCGTTATAGTGAAGTGGTATGACTCAAAAGAACGCGCTGAGTTCTGAGGTTAGATTTCAGTTTTATCCAGCTTTCCTTCAAGTGCTTGTACTCGGCTTTTCTTCTACAGCAGCCTGAACATAAACTGTTGAGCAAGAACCTTTTTTACAGAATACCATATTTACAGAATACCATATTTCACCGAATTGATTGGTAGAGGATGGTTTAGGACGCACTGAAACTGAAAACATAATTCTTACCTTGATAACAAGACCAGCTTTCAGTATGGCAGATTTAACCAGCAGTGCTTGGGTTTTCTGCTTGTATGTCAGACTGAGGTCCAACACGTTCTCAAATATTCTACTCCCTTCGTCGTCTTCGCTTGCTCTTAAAACCTGACCAATACAACTATCAAATTTAGACATTTTCCACAACTTTAAAGATCTCTGAGTTGTTTTCTGAAAAGTTCAAGTAGAAACAGAACAATGAAATATATCCAGGGGTAAAGTATGTACCTTGTTATGACTGTCGATCCTGACAGGCTGGTCAGCCACAAGTTTCATCAGCTCTAGTTCCAAATCCTCAATAGTCGTGTTGAAAGCCTCTGCCATCTTGTTCATGTCACATGTTAGATAAGGGCTGTAGTACTGGTGGGATGATGGTTTTAGTGCTCATATCTCTCACATCAAAACACTATATAATTTATTTGGTATCATTAATAGGCAATCTCTGATACAAAGAGCTGGCTGAAGGCTGCTGCTGGACCGTATCGAGAGTAATTAGATCAATTAGGTAAGCTGCATGCAACGATACTAATTTTAATCCCTTATCTTAGAGAGAGGACTTTAAACTGAGCTGGCTCCGCTTCAGGGCATGCACATAAATCATGTATGTATATCATGCCGGCCCAATCCGTTAAATATTAATTATTATTAGTTTAATTTAATTGAGGTGACCATGCGTGCGCGCGAGAATCATTAATATCAGCGTATCGCGCCTTACATTTTGTACGACGGGAATGGAGCGGGAAATTACAAAATTGCCACTGTGACATAGTTACGGCTCTTCCTTTTTTTAGTGGATAAAATCGATGATACTCAAATAACAAATATATCAATCTCGAAACCTATAGATAAGTTGCATCGCTGCAAAACACGATTTATTATTATCAAACAAAAGTTTAACGCTCGTTATAAAGCTGATAACATGCAGGCTCGAAGAAAAGTACTTGATAACTTGAAATTTGACCAGCAATGTATCTGCTTGCATTATCTTGCTCAAGATCCAAGAAGCAATAATAAATTCACCTGTTTGATAGATTCACTGCGTATCTTCTCGAACAGATTATCAACATGAGGGCTCAGGAACAGATCCAACTTGAACTCACTTCTTAACAGTTCTAACGCTCTCAACCCAACACTGTATTCACGGTTATAAAATGCAAACATGAAATTTCTTATGGTGGGCTGAGCATCCATATACTGCTTGAAGTTGCTGAAATGAAAGTTCTTTTAAAAAAAACGAACGTACTGTTTTTAAGGATAACGTCACCTCTGGTAATTTTAGTTCTTTAGACCATGGAATTCAAGCCACTAATTCAGAGAAACCTACTTGTTTTCGATAAGTAACTTCTGAAAATCTTTCCTATTGAACGAAGCCAGAGCGCACAAACTAGCGTAGACCAGGACACATAACGGGGAAATCGTCTGAAAATAGCAGTATAAACAAGTCTGTAAGGGATGGTAGGAAATCAAGCTATAAAAAGTTGTGAAAAGTATCGAAATTCAAAGTGGTTAAAAATTGTGTAAAGAAAAAGTTAAGTTCACAAGCACTTACTTCGTTGTCCCACGTGTCACAAGGAATGTTTGAGAATATTCTAGCAGCATTTTTGTAGTTATTGTGAGACATTTCGCATAATCCTTTAGCTAACAGTAACCGTCTCGTTATTTTAACCTGCAAAGATATCAGAAACTGAATTACATTTCGAATAGGAAATCGAATCGAGTAGAATCAGAGGAATGTGATTGTATCAAGACTTTACCAATCAAGTATAAGGTCATAACAGTTTGACTACTGCTAGCACAGTATAATACTAACGTCAGTGTTATCAATATGGTCTGTTTTCTTGATGTAGTTAGAGACAGACGTCCAGTGGTTCAGATACACGCTCACTTTAATAATGTTTAATAAGAATTCCATCGTGTGGGCAACAGTAGTTCCGTAGTCTCGGCTCTTCTGGTAGTGTTTTATCGCATTGCTGAGGATTATACACGACAGTGAATATAGGATATCAGTCTAGAGAATCTGTTATGTATAAGAGTTAGATGTTTCCACTTATTCTAACTAATTTTGGCGATTTATTTTGTCGCTAAACAAGTTATCCTCATTTCAATGTGTAAAAATTTACCAAAATTTAAAAGCTAAGTCTTATTGGCGATTATATCATATTGTAAGTACTTAATTGTTGAATTAGTTCAGTGCAAAATATTTGATGCTACTTTAAAACCTTAGGTCGCCACAGTCATGGTAGTGATCTCCCAACATCTGGTGTGTTCTCCTAATGTTCTCCTTATCTTGAGACAACTGGTAGCTTTTTAAATCCTGCTCCAATCTGACAAACATGTTTAACTTATGACCTGCTCATAATCTACACAGTTCTGAGGTGATCAACCCTAAAATTTAACTAGGAACAATATTGCTGAAGTTTCGATGTTACCTACCTGTCGACTTTGTTGATGAGGTATTTGGAGGTTTGTGTGATCCAATCCACGTTAACAGATATCCCCTCAGAAGGGCAGGTGTTGTTGAGGGCTTCAACTGCGTCAGTGTACACTGTTATGTTCTTACAGTCCATAGCAGTCTGAATTAACAGCCTGAGATGCAAAACAAAGTTATGAAAATGGTTTGGTAGTAAATGAATTTCGCACGTGATAATGAGTAACTTGGTCACGTGCTTAAAGTTGAGGAGAAGTGAAATAATACAATTATTTTATTAACCTGTAATTGTCACTGGAAGGTCGGGAGTTGTCTACGTAAAACTTTAATCTTTGTAAACAGACATTCCCAACGTACTGACTTATGTACGAGTCCAAATCCTGTATGGATCTGCTGTGACTAATTTGTTTAATAATTCTTTTGAAAACAGTTTAGAAATAAAGGTAGAATAAATTGTATACAGAAACAATTAACAAAGACTATAATGCAAGTATTGAGGGTGGGTTATAGAATAACAGAATTGAGAATTCTTACCAAACAAACAGGACTAGCCTCCACATCCATAGGTTCCATGATTTTAAACCTATAAACTATTGAGTTTAAGTTTTAGTAATTACTAATTATAGTTAATGATTAAAGTATACGACTTTTATAAAGGTATTGTTTGTAGATGGCTTTGAAAACGTGAAATTCATTCGCATTCTCGGAATAAAGTCGAATCAGAGGAGTGTCTCTTGATAAATAATCCCTCGAGTCTATTCGGAGAAAACTACAAAAATCATTTCAATTCGACAATGTGTCAATGAAAAATAACACAATTACTCAAGATGAAAATCCACATATTATTATTATTTTGATTTGAAACTTTAACAAAATAGCAAATATACAAATGTACAGCAAATCGAACAAACATATAAATTGGGCCGAAATGTATAAATGCTAAAAAGCGTGGGTCAGTGAAACAAGTACAGAGGACAACTTTCAAAACACGAGTTTTATGGCCACCCAAAGTCTCAATAACATCACCTCCACCTAGTAATAAAATTATGAAATATGAAGTGTGAAACAATCAAAAAATAGAGTATGTAAATTATGTAATTTACTCTCAAATACAGATAACGTTCGAAAACTCTTAAGATACTCATTACTCATTTATATACTGATCAGTGTCCGAGAGACATGAATTGCTTCATGGTGGCTTCTTATCACGGCTAAAAACCTTCCCGTACCGGATATATTGGTCGAGATGAGTCTGTTCAGCCCTCTTCTTTTTCAGGTCAGTGACCAGATGCTTCCTCGTTTTTCGTTCTTCGCTGGACCTATCTGGACAGATCCATACATCTTTGTGGGTCTCAACTAGCCTCGGTCTCCCTGTTTTCATCAGAATCTGATAAACTGCTGTTGAGCTCGGGACGGTGATCTTGACTGGTCGGATAGACGTTCTACCTGGCTTTTTCCAGCCGACTCTAGTCGCTTCGAAGTGAGGTTTCTCCCCAATCTCATCCAAAACTGCGGTTACAAGCGCTGGAAGCTCTTCTTTCTCCTCTTCTTTCAGCCCAAACACAATCAGGTTCTTGCTCCTGTCCTCCTCTGCAGCCACGCTCTTCATCACCTTCTTCAGAATGTAACTGTTGCAGACCGTACCACTTGCACTGTTCTGTTGTACAGCTGCACTGCAGTAGATCTGAATCCCTGAATCAACCGTTGTTTGCACTGTCTCTTCAACCGACGTCTTAAGCAACTGTAGTTCTTTGTCCTTCTGCACAAGCAGCTGGCCCTGCAGCCTGATAACCTTTTCCTTGTCTGCTAACGCGTCCGTATTGAAGAAATGGATGATCTCCGATATTTTAGCCATCTGGCATTCCTGCCGTCGAACGAGGTCTATCGCTTCCACAAGCCAGAGTGCCAGATGCCTTTTTTAAACAGACGTACCCATGAATATTTCTCTGTCCATATCTCCGCAAATATCATGGTTGACGTTGTCGATTTTCAGTTCTTTTCCCAACACAATGAACCACTTAGTAACACAGCCCTCCACATATAATTTTCCAGTTCATCATAATCGAATGCTTTAATTTCCTCCAGAGATTGACTTACATTCAGATCATCTTCCAAAGTGTACTTGTATAGGATTGTACAAGTACACACGCAAAGGCTAACTACGGGTAGCAGCAAACTGAACTTATCGCAAGTTACAAAAGATAAGAGAGCTCGATAATTGCAACGAAAGCTACACTGACTACACAAAAGCTACACTGACTACACACGAAAGCTATACTGACTACACACAACTATGAAGTATTTGATTTTACATATTGTTACTTCTACAATGTACAGAATAGGATTGAGGGTCGGTAGATAACAGATAAAATTAATATATTCGGTAAATAACAACATAACAGCAGAAACAACAGAAAATCTAATAATGTTAGAAATTTAGTAATCTGTAAAATGTAAAATGTGCTTATATTGAGGATCAGAAGATGATTCATACTATTAAGATCAGAGCCGCTATTACGTATCAATACACCAATGCAAGGGTTGCTGCCTCCAAACAACCTAAATTTCGTATTTGAAATATTTTTCGATTAACAACTTGTTTATAGTAACCAAAACAGCACTTGAAATAACCACAAATGCTCCAATAATATTCAAAAGATTGGGGACGCTGTCAAAAAATACAATCTGAATTCCATAGGCAATAACAATATCAAAGTTTCGGATGAGAATTCCCGGTCCAGATTTTTCGAGAGTCAGTCCTCGATTAAGAAGAAGAAGGCAGACAAATATACCAAATCCTCCCAAGCACATAATCAGCCTATCCATAAAACATTCAGGAAGTACAAATTTGTCACCACTTATTAACTGGAAGATAATTCCGTACACAACAACTGTGGGAGAAACAATAACTGACACAAAAATTGGGCTAACTTCAGTTCCAACTTTTCTCATCATGCTGAAGGCAAGCCCCAAAATAATTCCCCCAGAAAGAGGAACCAATGCAAAAATGGAACTATATTCTTCCCTATTTTCTTCACTCGGAGCTCCAAACAGAAAAGTAGGTTTAGCTATTAAAACAACTCCGCACAATCCAATTAACAATGCCAATATCGTAAATATACTCAATTTTTCTTTCCAAAGAACCCTAGAAAAAATAGCAGCAAAGATAGGAACCAATGCAAACAGGGATACACTATCACCATAATCCATCACTTTAGCTGCCCATAACTTCAAAATACCTGCAAGTCCACCTAACAATGCTCGAGGTATTATATATTTGGCTTTTCCTTCAAAACCTATATTTTTTTCTTTAAAAAACAAGGCTGGGAGTATGAATAAGAACGAAAAGAAAAACATTGTGGACGAAAACTGGCCAACAGCCAAAGTTGTGCTATTTTTAACAAGTGAAAAAACACTGACACTAATAAATCCAGCTAGAAATATGAGCAGTTTTCCTTCAATCTGTTTGCAGACCGATTTACATGTGAGTGGAAATATTTCCTTGATATCATCTCGATCTTGTTGGCTACCGTCCGCCTCAAGTTGTTGAAATGGTAGGTTTGAGGATTTTATGAGCACCATTTCCTGTTCTTGAGACTCCGTCTGGACCGTCATCAGGATGAATGTACTTCCTACAATTATAAGGATATTATCAAAAATTCAGATGCCCACCATCCGTTCGCATAACACGCTAAGTACACAATTAGAATGAATATTGTTTAGAGGTTTGGTTTCTAAAATATATATTCGTGTTTATATTTAAAAACTATACAGACTCAAAGCTTAATGTACATAATATGAACTATACGTAGTGAATCGTTAAAAGATTAAACATCTTTACGGACTCTGGAGGTAATACCCTCTTACCCTTGTAAATGATATAAATGACGTTCTCAAACCGTTCTTGAGAACTTATTAAGACTGATCGCTTATTTGCCCTTTTTGGGACACCCTATATTATGTACATCGCTCAACTTATGTTACATCTGATCCGGATAACACATTGCATGTATAAAAATAAACTATCATAATATAAATCGATACGATTCAAATTCGTTACAATATTGCTTTTTAGGATGGAATGGTACGGTAACGCGGCCATATGACCTACAAAGTCAGATATGTTTACGACCTCTCTATGACTTTTTTACATTTTCTTCATGGTTAAACTCAACGTGGCTACGTGGAATGTTTGTGGTATCTCATCTGAAGACCGCAAATTCCTAGTTGCCAAGGATATAGACAGATACAACCTCGACATCATTGCACTACAAGAGACGAAGACACGAGAGTTTGCGCAAATAACTCTGCGCAGATCTGCCTGGTCACCACCATCTGTATTTGTTTGATCAGAAACAGGATTGGCACGGTGGTCTTGGTTTTTTAATTAACAAACGTTTTACAGACTGCATCATTTCCTATCATCAGATCAGCGATCGTGTTGCATACATTGACACCAAACTGAAGCCGACAGATAACAGTTCAGCACCCTGTTACATCAGATTTATCAACTGCTATAGTCAGACAAATCCAAAATGTGTACAGAACCCTCAGATAGCAGACAAGTTTTACGATCAGTTGGTGAAAGCACTAGATGTACCTGCTAGATACGAAGTGTGGTTTTAAGGGGATTTTTATGCCAATATAGGCAAGAGATCATGGAATGATGAGGAAAATGGTCTTAGTTCACACATAGGAAAACATGGTGTTGGTCGTAGAAAATGAGAACGGAGATAGACTTCTTCAGTTTCTTGTATCGCACACATTGTTTGCAGCCAACACCGCTTTTCAACATGCCAGTCGCCATATTACGACTCGAACTGGCTGGATTAAGGACCAGTCTACAAGAAAAAGTAGACCCCATTATCCCCAAATCGACTACATACTTTGCAAATCAAGGAGCAGAGTACTTTTAACTAATGCTAGATCATATGCTGGAACTACTCACCGCAGTGACCACAAACTTGGTATAGCTAGTATTGATTTCTCAAGACGATACAAGTTATACAAGTCATCTACCAAGAAACAGAAGCGTTTTAACACTAACTCGCTAGTATGCAGTAGTGATACACAAGGAAGCTACCAAAACTGCCTTGACGCTGCAATAGGCAGCAGTAAATCTTCAGACACCTACTCTGATGCCAACACTGCTCAAAGGTTTGGCATACTGTTTGAGAGTGTTAAAAGCGCTGCTGTATCAACAGTTGCCTATAGTGACCCAGTCAGAAAACGTTATTACTCTTCTGATAGTGCCATAGTCGACTGAACGTAAGGATCTGCTGAACCAGCTGAACACCAACAAGAGCACAGATAGGACTTCACTCAGGGCTAAAATCAATCAACTGTCCAATGACATTCAGAAGCGTCTTAACCTTCTCAAAACTCAGCTCGCAGACAGCGTCGCTGATACTATCAACAACACCGATGATTCACGCCGTATGTTTGAAGCTGTTAGACAATTATCAAATAAAAACAATAAATCAACATCAGTATTTGTACATAATGAAGATAATCAGTTTGTAAATGGTAATGTTCATAAATGTAATATTGTACGTGATTATTTTAAACAGCACTACACAAGCTCAGTCAACGAGCCAGCTATTGAGCCATT